GTCTAGAAGTTAGGCGTTCGTGTGTGAGACTGATAGGTCCTAGATTTGAATCTTACGAGTTGGGATTGTGAATGTACACTGTTAAGGAGTCTCACAATAGGATGGAATGTCCTTTCAGTACTTCCAGGTTTTCCAATAGTGGTCTAGCTTCAATTAACTCATGAATTCGACTACTAAATTATTATGATATTCACAAAACTCCTTCTGATATTATTCAACATATGCTCACTATTGACTGGCTTCAACAGGTATTTCCTGGAGTTCATTGGTTACTAAAGCTATAGCTCAGAGATGGCAGGTTCTTATTATATAACTAAACAGAGTACATGTGATCTTTAGTTACCTTACTTGAAAATGACTACATACAATCATCAACTAGTACTTTAATTCAATTTCAAGTTGATTTTCTTAAAGTTTTGGCTTGTTCATAAATATGTTCTAGATTACACTGACAATCATAATCCATCAATAAACCAAAATTTGTAGTTGCAAACAACATATGAGTATCAGCTTAGGATATACAATATCAACAGTATCAATTCAACTTCATTCCGAAATTTCATAGGTTGAAATCATGGGTCGATTGAAGCTGGACCACCATGGAAAACCTGGAAGCACTGGAAGGCCGTTTCGTCCTAGTATGGGACTCCTCAGCAGTGCGCATCCACGATCCCGCACCGCGCGGGATATATTAATAATGGGATAACATAAACTCTAACAAATACCTTTATACTTTTTGAATATGTGAGTGACTATCTGAACGTAGAAAATTAGTTGATAGATTATTGATTTTTGAAGAGATAGGTATATCTCTGAACTTCAGTGTAAAAATCTACCATTACATACACTTGATTATTTAGAATCAACAGGAAGCATAAATGACTGATTATAAACTAAGTCATAATCCAAGCATATATCATTCAATATGATGGAAGGATCCAAGTTAGTTATTAATGTAAAGAACTTGTGGAGATTTTTGAATTTTACAGTTTTCATCATGAACAGACCTTAGTTAGACAACCATCCAATACTATGAATCATTGGATAGTTATTTCACCTTGTTAGGGGACTCCTCTGCAGGGTGCATCCATGACCCCGCCGGATATCGATCCCAGGATATTTAAATCTTTTGTCGAGTACCTAACATTAAGATCAACAAGTTGGCGTCTATTAGATTACGAAACATAGATAATCATTTCAACGGAGAGATGTTTGTAGGTTAGAAAAACAAGTTGCGGATAGGTTTCAACAAACTAGAATGAGACATTTATACAGTATGTCTTAATCTTTAATTAATTATGTTGGCCAAAGTCAGTCTGTGATAAAAATGAACTTCGAATAGAACAATTTCTGCAAATGATATGGGATATTAACTAAAAATTAGCTTGGACTATTTCATAATAAAACGTGATTTACTGGTGGTTGATTAAATTAGATTGAGTGCTTGCGCACGAAACCAGTAGGTCCTGGGTTCGGATCTCGCAGGGGGCGAGGTCGTGGATGCGCACTGCTGAGGAGTCCCATGGTGGGACGAAATGGCCGTTCAGTGCTTCCAGGTTTTCCATGGTGGTCTAGCTTCAACTGACTCATGATCTTAACCATTGAAATTACTATAATATCCACAAAACCCATCTGAATTAGATTGACTTAAACTAAATTCATGAGAACTAGTTTTACTATGGATATTCTCTTCTCGTCCAGTGAAAGAATCTTCGTTTCTCCCGGAGAAAATCTAATTTTATCATTTCTAATCAATCTTATTCACATTCCTCTAACTAAATCGTTTAAAAATTATTTACTCAGAATTGAAATTACATAACAAAAGTTAAACTACTTTTAATTTTATAAGTAGTACAAAAAACTGAATAAATACTTCTTGTGTAATTGTGAATGTTTCAGGTTTATGTTACATTTTTAAATGAAAATAAATAAGTCCTGCAAACTTTTATCATAGAATCATCAACAGACAATTAGAATTCAAGCGAACCGAAAGGGAAAAAATCCCACTTCATAAATTACGTAATTCAAATAAAAGAAAATCAAAATAATTTCCAGAGTAAAACAAGCAGCTCATAAATAAAATAAGGAAACAATTTTCAAATAAATTTGTAAGAAAGAAATTGAGTGAATCAAACAGTGGACACAATAATTGAGTGCATAATTGAGTGCACATTTGTTTCCCTATGGTTTGAACTTCATCGATTATGAAAAGGCGCTTGACTGTGTAGATAGGAGAACATTATGGAAACTTCTTCCACACTATGGAGTTCCTGAGAACATTGTCAATATTATTCGCAACTTATATGATGGACTACAGTGCAAAGTCGTGCATTCAGGACAACTGACAGATGCATTCCAAGTAAGGACCGGAGTCAGACAAGGCTGTCTATTCTTCCCCTTCCTCTTCCTACTAGTGGTTGACTGGATTGTGAAGACCTCGACATCTGAGGTAAAGCACTGAATACAATGGACATCTCAGAAGCAATTAGGTGATTTGGACTTCACAGATGACCTATCTTTTCTATCCCATACATATCAACAAATGCAGATCAAGACAACTAGTGTAGCAGCGCCATAAGAATCAGTAGGCCTCCACACAGCTTCATTGTTATATTTTGTTCATTAATAAGTAATGATGAATGTTTGAGATACAATAAAAATCCTACATTTTCTTCTACCTATTTACATGCTTCAATAGTTATCTATGAATTAACAGAAATGATGAGGAGTATTATAAAATAGGAACACATACATTGAGTTTTAAATTGTCCAAATGAGTTTTCTGCCTTGTATAAAGAGGTTAGTTTAATGATTTTGGCAAAACTATAATTAATGGATGAACCAATCAAATTTAAGAGAACAAGTGGCGTGAAATTCAACTATCCATTTGGCTAAATATCGTTTCGGCATTATAACTGATGTCAGTTCATGATGAAAACCATAAATCTAATTCCTGACCCTAACGTACAGATATAAATTCTATTATTGATTCCTCATATTAATTTATAACCCAGTAAGTAAGTGAATATTATCAAAGTCATTGTTCTTTTAGCAGTTTTATTGTCCGTTTATTAAGAAATAGTAAGAAGACTTACATTTTCTTTAACACTACGTTACATTTCATTTATTTTCATCTTATCTTTATTGTTAGAGATTTTGATGAAATGTCTATTAACTTGAACATAATTACGTGTCGACTACTTACGTACTTACTTGCTTATGCCTTCTACTCCCAAGTGGAGCATAGGCCCCTGACCAGCATTCTCCAATCCACTCTGTCCTGGGTCTTCATTTCTAGTTCTATCCAGTTGTTGCTCATTCTTCTCATATCTGTCTCCATTTCTCGCCGTAATGTGTTCTTTGGTCTTCCTCCCCTCCTTTGGCCTTGAGGATTCCGAGTGAGGGCTTGCCTTATACCAATTAAGATCTACAAAATTCCTTTGAATATTTCTATCAATAATCCAATTGGAATTTCATACTATTAATAAGATCCAATAAAGTCTGAGAGATGTATACTTAACCAATTAAGATGATAAATAAATGTATTATTATTATTACTATTAATGGCTTTATTCAATACTATATTTTTGGTACAATATAGAATTTTCAGCACAAAGTATTTCAACAAGTTTCCGTTTCTTACTTCTTGGTCGATCCTGACGATAAATATTGAGTGATCGCCAGTTAGATGTTAGCAGTTCAGTAAATGAACATTTGAATAATGTGCATTTTTTCGCTGTATATTGCCAGCAACGACGTTGGCTCTTATTGAGTTTTTTGTAACTTTGACAACGAAAGGTTGTACACTTTTCAGAAACGCAGCAGGATAGTATATGCGATTAATAAACATAATGATATATTAAAACAAACGAAAATAGATAACTTGTTGAAATATTTAGATGGCAGGAACAGGTAGCCCAGATGCTCAAGCAGGCCGCCCTTGTTGGAATACCTTAAATACTTCATTTGCACATATTCTATCAGATGTCTTTTACATCCTTCATGATTCTTCCAATTCTCAATTCCTTTATGTTTCCCTTTTTGTTTTCTTCAGTTACATCTTCTTAACCTACTTTTGACAGACATTCAATTTCTGATTGGTGTTATATACTACTTTTATTTGTCAACATAAGTAGTATACACCACAATAGAATTTGGGTTCGAAAACCACTTTATTTACTTCACTATGATCTAAGTACATAGATAAGCACTTGGTAAATAAATGAAATTAAGTATTAGATTTTGTAAACGGATTATCTGTGCGATGTAAAACAATCATACTAATCAATGTTTGTAGTTCCTTAAAACAAACTTACTTCTAGAGAATTTCTTAAAGTTCAAAAGACACTAGATCATTTCCTACTCTCTGATTTCATTTATTCTCATAGATTAACGGTTCATTAATGACCACATTTAACGGCAACATGAGAACATAAGCTGATATTTGACAGTATCCACGATTCTTTATTTAATGTTTTCAGAGTAATCAAATATCTACCCTTTAATATTATCATATTCAAGATTTCATCATGAATTTTGTCATTGTAATTATACTAAGTTGGAGATCCAATGGTGTCTAACTTCAACGAATCCAAGAAATTCAGTGACATATCTATCATTGTCATCAGTGAGTTACTATCTCACGACAGATCCGGTTGAACTCCACTAGTTACTGCTTCTCACTATAACTCCAAGAAATATCTTTTAAAGCCAGTTAGTAGTGGGAATACATTGATTAATATCATAAAAAGTTTTGTGAATATTATAGTAATTTCAATAGTTGAATTCATGAGTCAATTAAAACTGGACCTTCATGGAAAACCTGGAAGCATTGGATGATCGTTTCGTTCTATTGTAAGACTCCTCAACAGTGTGCATCTACGGTCTAGTTTCAATCGACTCATGAATCTCAACGATTTAAAATTACTGTAATTTCCACACAAAAGACCCTTCTTCTATTATAGTTTACTAAACTATTTGTTCATTAAAACAACCCCCCCCTCGAAAAAAAACTAAAAAAAACATTACAAAATCTATTGAATGCATAATCTCAATCATTTATCGATTAATTTGCTCCACACACAAAAAAAACGAAATTGCACTAATAATTGACCATTCCACCATTCCCCATCATCCCCTTGACATCAAAGTGCATTTATAATCGATACAGTAAAAGTCTAATTTTTTTTTTTTTGTTTGATTATATCAAGTCGATAATTTGCGTAAATCAAAAACAAACAAACTCAATAGTTTTCCAATCAATAAAATTTGATTCTTTTAACTTGATAAACTTCTTAACCCCCCCCCTTAGATAATTTAATCTCTTTCTTCATTTTTTTCTTCTTTTCATTAATATACAATTGAAGTTGTTACTTTCAATAATGTTCATATTCAATAGTTTCCATATACATTTACGATCATTCTTGTTATTGTTTGTATATTTAACTTGGATCCATTCAATTGTACAAGCAAATGATAATAAGAATGAGACAGTTACAACCACGACGACGACGACAACGACAACAACAACAACAACAACCCATTCCAATTCTACTCATGAAAATATTTCAAATACATCAACTATAACAAATAGCACTTCAAGTGGACATAGTGCAATTCGAGCAGCATCATTTACAATGACTGATTCATCATATTATGGTTATAAACCAAATTCAATGAATCATAATGAAGGATATAAAACCAAATCAAATGAACATTATGATAAACATAAAATTAATTATGAACAATATTTTAAAAATTATGATCAATATTATCATCGCAAACATAAACATCATCATCACCATCATCATCATCATCATCATCGTCATCATGATCATGATCACGGCGATCATGATCATAATGATCATGATCATGAACGCCATGATCATTCTCATGAACATTCTTCTAAAGAAGATAATAATCCAAAGACAATATCATCTGAATGGATCTATGATAAATTAAAAGAATATTTAACTTGTATCTATGAGAAACAAATTAATTGTGAAGATCAATTTGTTACAGAATTACAATTGAAATTATTAAAAATGCAATCAAATAAACAAAAAAATGATGAACATTATGAATCCATTTCATCTGAACATGAGAAACAAATTCCAATCATGTCCGCTGAAATTCATAAAACATCATTAGAAACAAAACATGAAGATGATCATACACATCCAGAACATCAACATAAAGAAGAACATAAAGAAATGAGAAAAGATTCATCTACTATATATCAAACAAAGAATAATCAATTTGAAATAAGTAAACATAAAGAAATAGAACAAACAGAGAAATTTTATTCACATGAATCTTATCAAAGTTTAGATAATGATAAATATTCAAGTTATTATCATAATGATCATCATGAACGTCATTATCCTAATCTTCGACATCATCGGAATCAACATCAACATTCTCCTCCATCACCTTTTCCTCTTGATCATCATCGTCATAAAGATCATCATGATCGTGATCATCATCATCATCAGCATCATCATCGTTCATCTTCATATTATAAAGATGGATGGTTTGAAAAACTAGATAAAATGTTACCAAGCTTGGATGATGATGATGATGATGATGACGAGCATCGTCATAAACACAAAGATAAACATTCACATCGTCATCTAATGTATCGAAAGTATTCAAACAAATATTAAGTCATTTACAATGTTTCATCATCATCATCTTCAACAACAACAACAACATCATCATCATTACCCAAAAGAACACCATTAATGTTATCAATAATTCTTTGATGAACATTTCTAACGGTGAAATATTTTACATTATTGAAATTTTTTTATTATATGGTTAGTAATAAACCTCTGAGAATAATACTACTTATACTACTCATAATGAAAATAATGATGATAATAATAATAGAAATAAATATATAACAGGAAATCTTCTCATTCTTCTATGTATATACACTACTCCACTTATTAAAAGGGGTCAACTAATTAAACTATTGATATTTTGCTACATATTATCCATTTAATATTTTCCTTTATAATACAACAATCAAGTACATGTCTATTATTGATTGAGAAGTAATTACTAGGATACTTTGTTTGACCTAGTTTTTCATGTTACATGTTATTTATCAGTAAAGTATATCTATAATCTAGAACGAAGTGATTTGTTGGGTTAGAATTCTAAACTATGTTATCTAGTACTGAAGTCACTAAACTATTTGGTATACTACTGAAGAGTCCTAAAATGGGACGAAATAGTCATCCAGTGTTTCCAAGTTTTCTATGATGGTCTAATTTTAATTGACACATGATCTTAACTATTAAAATTACTATTAATATACATAAAAAAACCTCTTCTGATATTTGGTATTAGACTGGTCTCTTGAAAGATTAAGATGTTTACTTGAATTGATCATTCAGAAATAAGTCATTTCATATTGTTTATTCATAAATACTAATAGGATTCTACTAATTAACCGACGATTTGAATGTTCAAAATCAAACAAGCTGCATAATGTTGACAAATCGTTTGTATTAATAGACGAATTAGGAGTTGATAGTACTAGGAACTAGACAAGCATACCATTGGTTTCTCATGAAGTGATGGTTAATATTGAAAGAGCAAATATTCAATACTGAAGTTTATGTCACACAACATCTCCTGTGATTGATTTCCTCAGCCATCTAGATTTCACTCGGTAAATCTAAAGTTAAGATTTGAGTCATGCAAATCGTTTTTTTTTCGTTTGTATGAAAACCATTAAGCTTCGGTGAAACTATAATTTATGGATGGACCAATCAGATTTAGGATAACAGGTTTTGGATCTTGGTGTTAAATTCACTCACCCATTCACATCCAAATAGCTTCTTGGTATTTTAGCTGATGTCAGTTGGTGATGAAAACTATAAATCTAAATTCTAATCCTTATCATCAACTGTAAATCAATATCTTTATTCCTCAAACTGCTTTATAACCTTTATTTAGCCCTATATTAAGTAGGTAAACACTCTCAAGGTGACTTTGACATCCCTCAAAGATTGTCCATAAATTATAGTCTCACCAATGCTTCTTATATCCGAGTTTCAACTTCACCTACTTTATATATTAAAGTGATTTTAATAACTTCTCATATGTAATTCATTTCCTTGATATACCCATATAGATATCTTTCTTACTATAAAATTATACTAGTTATCAAAAACTTATGGTTAGGCTTGCTTTTGTATTTCCTTTATGATATCTTACTTGGTTTGTAAAATTAATTTAATAATTGAACTGACCAAAATGAGAATTCTCCTCAACGAATACATTTGTAAACCACAATCTGACAGAATATAGATGATGTCATTCATAGTTACCTGACTAAGTACATAGATTAAATATAACAGAAAAAATGTTATAGATATGATATTCAACCAGAAGAGTATGACTATAAGCTACAAACCGGATTTTAAAAAAATGGATAGTTGCTAGCAGTAGAATCCAGGACGCGTGTTTCACCCTATTTAAGACTCGTCAGCTAGATATACTTACATCCCAGAGTTGATGTTTACTTTAGGACTCAAACCCCGATTGATCAGTTGCAGCCTTAAACATCAATGAGAAGATTCAAACAACAAACACATATAAATCAAGTGTTAAAAATTGGCTAATGAAAGATAATAGTGAAGACTAGATAACTAACCAATAATCTTCACATAATTATCTGTCATAACAATTCTAAATGGTGAAAATACTAGAAGTTACACTTAAGTACAAAGCTTTTGATCACATTTTCACAGAGTATCTCAGTGATATTGATCTGTGTAACATTTAGTCAACAACAACAAAATCTAACGAGTCCCACAACAGAACGAAACGGTCGTTCAATGTTTCCAGGTTTTTCATAGTGGTTTAGCTTTAATTGACTCATGATCTCAACTATTGAAATAAATCTAAATGAAAAATGGATTGTATATGATACTCCTTAGTATCACTTAGTGCTTATTAGCTATTTGCATTTATTGAACTTATATTGTTTTATGAATAGTAATGGATGTTTAGAATGTATTTAAATGGTTCATAGGAAATAAATGAGAATGAATAGTTAGATGACCAAATAATTTTGTTCAACCTTTAGTAAAAGAATACCGTTGGAATAAGACAACTAATTGATGAATATTAGTTTTATTAGGTTGGTAGAACTATTATACATACTGTTCTTTCAAATGGGAAGTGGATAGGACACGCATTGAGGAAAGCACCCAACTGCGTCACAAGACAAGGCCTCACATGGAATCCTCAAGGTTAAAGGAAAAGTGGAAGACCAAAGAACACATTATGCTGGGAAACGGAGATCGACATGAGCAAAATGAACAAGAATAGGATGGAATTAGAAAAGAAGGCCCAGGACAGAGTTGGGTTGGAGAATACTGGTCGGCGGGCTATGCTCTATTGGGAGTAACAGGTGTAAGTAAGTCTTTCAAATGACCTTCTAAAGCTAACCAAATAGACATCAGGAGATAGAATCAATATCCAACTATCTTATTCCATACTTTTAAGCAATTAAAATTCTCCCTTATATGTAACATATCTAAGCTAATAGAATTTATCATATAGGAAACAAATAATAAAGGTTAACAGAGTCATAAAACAACAAAACTTTATTGATTTCTCTCCACAGTATATCAACCAGTTGTTGTATCCAAAGGAGTTTAGAATAACACATACAGTTTTAACACTGTAGGGTTTGATGTGATAAGAGAGCTGCATGTCTCAAATTGATAATAATTGTATTGATTTATGGTTGTACACTTGATAAAGAGTTATATGTAGGGACTATCTTTTAGAAAGCAAATGTCAGATAGTTTAGAAATAGGGTGCAAATATCCAATGTACATTGTTTACATGAAGTACTTCCAGAATGAAAATGACTTCCATTAATGAAATTCATCTTTTAGATTAGTAAAGTTAACATGGCTTTTGTGATGTTGTACAGAAGTGTTAAAGGGAGTATACTGAACCCTTAGCTATACGAAAATTTAAACCCCTTTTGTTCTCATTTGAACCTACCCTGGTAATGTTAGATGATTTTCCAGCTTGATGAGTCTTCATACTGTTTTTCTTATTATTTTCTTCGTTATCTTTGTTTCATATTACTCTCTATTTGTCTAATTGACCTTTTGTCTTAGATATATAAATGTACTTAACAAGTATATGTGTGATCAGATTGTTAGAAATGTATTGCACTCATGCATCATGTAGTTCTGATAAACTTCGTTTTCTTATTACACTATCCAAAGTTAATTGAGCTTATCAGTGTTTACAAAATGTTGTTTAAAAGAATTGTGAAAGGCTATTCTACCGTTTAAGACTCCCCATTAGATTATAGTTTTCAAAGTGATGAATTTCTAATAAGCTAACTCGAAACTATTTAACTGGAGATTTTTTGTATTACGAGTTTTCGTATCAAATTTTCCTACTACTTAATGTTTTATAAGTAGTGTACTAGTGTTAGTAAATTAATTAGTAACAATATTAACAATCAAACGTTGACATAGTAGGTATCCGTAATTTATTCATGTTAAATACGAATTTATTAATCAGGTGTAGGTGCATAGTAGAAACGAATGCATTCTTAATACTTATTAACCAGTACTGTTATGCAAAACAATTTGTATCAAATATTTCTAAGTGAACCCAGTTTAAATTGTAATTAGTTTGATACTTCAAGCATTTAGTTATCTAGTAGTTGAATTCATCAGTCAGTTGAAGCTAGACCATTATGGAAAACCTGGAAGCTTTGGACGGCTGTTTCGTCCTAGTACGAGACTCCTCAGTCCCTAATACACACCCATGATCCCGCCTCGCGATATTCGAACCCAGGACTTATCAGTCTCGCGCGCGAACGCTTAATCTCTAGACCACTGAGCCGCCATCCAACGGTGTTAATGTCTAACTTCAACAAATCTCATTTATTTATCTCCAGAATACAGCCAATTTTACGCATTAAAGTGTTACAAGAGTAATGATCAAGTGGTAATCTTCACAGGACACTGTGGAATGATGAACTTATCGTGGTAAATCCACTAAGTCACTGCATTCGCCATATAACACAAGTGACGCATAAATCCAAACATTCCTAAACCTACAGTTAGGACACTTGAGACCTAGATAAGTGTTCAAAACGACTGTGTACTCATTCAAGCTCACAAATTATGTAAACTCATAAGATACAGGGTCACAATGCATTCTAACTAGTATATCTCAGCATGTACCACTGACTAGGGCATTTTCGAAGTAAAGTCTAAAGGCTGACCCGTAATTAATTAAATGTAACCTATCAACGGTAAAGGACAAAGCTAGATAGGCATATCACTAAACAATTGTTTAATATATTCTAACTACTCCACTACAAGATAGCAACTCGAGTCTCATATTTCTATATTTTATCTCCTTTTCCTAACAATTTGATCACAATTTAAAACAAACGATTTAAGCAACCATAGATTATGATGATATTTCATTCCCTTTGCGAGGCCAGAACGGTTATGTTTACAGAATACAATGAATTCTTCGTCTAGCGCCACCCCTTCTCCACAGCTAAACATGTATAATTACCTTATAATTTTCGGTAAACACTGATCTCAATTGAAAATTAGTACAGGTGGACTTTGATTTAGCGGTTTGAAGGCTGATTGCT